AGCAGCCCCAAAGCCCGAGCATCTTCCATCTCCTGTCACACTATGAAATCCTGCTAGGACCTTCGGTGGCACCAAAGCGTCAGTTCACGCAGCTCTGCGCAGCCCACTCCCCCGAGGGCGGCAGGGCCTCCTCCAGGCCTCAGTTCCGGGAAGGGGCCGTGAGCTTGGCGCTGTGCCCTGCTGCGCTAATCACAGTGCGTTATGTGTACCCTGCTGCTGCCAGCGCCCTCTGCTAACTGATCCAGCTTTTGCCTAACGCAGCTGTGGCAACGGATCTGCACAGAGGCGCAAGCCGGTGGTTTGCAGCCCGCCTCCCTACCTTCCCGAGCCTGTGACACACACCAGGCCACCTGATCAGGAATCACAGCAGCTTGGGGGAATGCTTGACCAGCACTGTTCTCTTTACCTTTCTTAAGAATTCTGAAGTGGGGGCTGGGGAGATGGCTCAGTAAAATCAGTTTTTTTAAAAAAATTTTATTTGTGGGGCTGTGAGATGGCTCAGTGGTCTGAAGCATCTACTTAGAACAAGCTTGGCAAAGCACAGGGACCGTGGTTCGATCCCCCAGCACCACATGCCAGCCAGCCCCACCCCCTGGTGGGCTGAGGTGGCCACACACACACACACACACACACAAATAAAATTTACCCATGCCCAGCCAGGGTAAAGTTTTAACAGATTAACATGTAGCGCAGTGACAGAGCTCTTCCTCGCAGGCACAAGGCCCTGTGTTCAATCCCCAATACCCCCCCCCCCCCGCAAACGAACAGCTTTACTGATGTGAGTCACATAATAAAACGTTCACCTCCCCCAAGCTGGGAGGCTGAGGCAGGAGGCTCGCTTCAGGAGTTTAAGGTCAGCCTGGGCTTCCTAGTGAGTTCAGTACTAGCCTGAACTACATAGCGAGGGCCTGTCTCAAAACACAACCACCAGGCTGGGGACGCAGCTCCACGGTCTAGGCCCTGCCCAGCAAGCACAAGACCTGGGGTTTGATCCCCAGCACCACGTGCCATGCTGGCCCCATGCCGGCCACTGAAATTGGGCCTGGGGGCGCATGCCTGGAATCCTAGTGCTGCGGAGGCTGAGACAGGAGGATCACTACAAGTCTAAGCTGCGTAGTGAAACCCTGTACCAAATAAATAAGTAAATGATTAAAAATTTTTAAAAATCCAAGGTATATAAGCAGGGAGTAGGGTTATCTGTTAAATGGACTCTAACAACAATTTACCTCAAGGAAGCACACAGCTTCCTAGTACTCTGGGAGCTTCCTGGCAGCCATCGTTTGGACCTAGTGACACTGCACAGGTATAAAGGTCACCTTCCACGACCACACGGCAGGTCCCCAACTTACAAACACTCGAGTCGCAGGCTCTCGCCAGTTCAGTGTGTAATGCTCACTCAGTCAGTTTACGGACGAGTCCAACTCCGGGACAATTCTCCCCGAACGGAACTCGTTCTGAAATCCAGGACTTACTACAATACTGTCTCTTTGTAAAAAAATGTTCTTTCATTGAAAAATATTTAGACCAGGGATATAGCTCAGTGGCACAGCACCAGCTTGGCAAGTTCCAGGTCCTGAATTCAATTCCTGGTACCAGAAAAAGAAAAATATTTAATAGGTACAGCACTTGCCTGGCAAGTGCAAAGCCCTGAGTTCAAGGTTCAGGTCCTGGGGCCGGAGAGGCAGCGCAGAGGCCAAGGCTCCTGCCCGGCAAACCCAAGGACCGAGTTTGATTCCTGTCCCACGTGCCATGCGGTCTCGGCCCAGATGCAGGCGCCCACTGTGTGGCTGGAACCGGGTGTGGTGGCACATGCCTGTAATCCAGCACTTGGAGGTTGAGCCAGGAGCTGCAGACCAGCCTGGGAGCTACAAAAGTGAGCACAAGGCCAGCCTGAAGTGCAGAGTAATTCCTGGTAGGGGATGTGTGTGTGTATATGACATTTATGTTCTGTTGTTTGCTTTAGAGTGTAAAACCTTTCAGTGGGAGACTATGTGCTTAATTTAGTATATGCCCCCAGGTGTGGAGGCATCCCCTTCATTTTATTTTTTTTTTTGTATTTTAGGGAAGGGTCTACAGGGTGTTCAGGGTCTTACTACTATATGGGACTCAGAGTGATCCTCCTGTTTACAGCCTCCCAAGAGCTGGGATTAACAGGCGCGCGGCACCACGCCCAGTCTCAACTGCCATCTCAGTGCTGAGAGATTCAATTTTACTACATTTAAAAAATATTTTTGTCACTTTTGAGACTCGCACAAAATAGCAATGGCTTTTGCACTTCTGAGCGTTCACCTCTCACAAGGCTGCCCTAGCCCAGCAGACGTGCGAAATGCCAGGAAAGCTGCCGGCCAGGGTGGGGCGGCGCCGCTGGGCGGGGCTGGGCTCGGGGCCTCTGCTGAGCCGCGTCCTGGGGATTGAGCTCAGGCCCTTGCGCTTGCCAGGCAGGTACTTACTCAGCCATCTCCCTGGCCCCCTCTGGCCCTTGCTTTTCATTTAGTTTTTGTGATCAAACTCAGGCAGGCGCTTATGACACTGAGCTATCGCCCCTGTCCCGTGATGGTCACTGTTTGTGTATGTATTTGGTACAGGGTCTCACGAAACAGCGTGGACTCACAGTGATCCTCCTGTCTCAGCCTCCCCAGCACGGGGATTACAGGTGTGCGCCGCCAGGCTTGGCTGAAATTGTTATTTCTAGTAAACTAGGCAGTTGGTAAGTTTTAGGTGACTACATGTGTTTTTGTTGTATTCTGGTAAATTGTGCAAATATACCCCCCCTTTTTTTTTTCACTATAAAAAGATTAGCAAAGGGGTACTTTGCAAGGTTTGGAATGCATTATAGATATTTCCATTATTTTCCCCCCATTATTTATGGGAAAAAGTCTTGACTTACAGCCAACTTGAGTCACGGCCAGCCCTGGTGGATGGCTGAGCCCCTAGGCCCAGGCCTGCCGCACACCGTCCCTAGCCCTGCCTCTGTGATGATTTGCTGAGTCACTGTGATGATTAAATTAAGTACCAATCAAAAAGAATTCTGCACCTGTAAATGATCTAGAACTGCAAATACCCTGTGCTTGTTACTGGCCTGCTTTCTAGGAAGACTACAAAAGGAGATCAAACAAACCCGCGAAGTTGTAGTGGCCCCCAGTAGCTGCGACAAGATATCTGGTTGCCTCACACTCATCACCTGCTTAGCCACCAGGCCTCGGGCCTGGGTGACACTGGAGCTGCCCTGGGCCGGCCTCCAGCACCCAAGGGCCAGCTGTGGCCTCCCTCTGGCCCTCATGAGCTGCAGCAGCCAAGTGACCCTGGAGAGGAGGGGGGACCAGCACGGGTGGGTTTCCATCAGTTCTGCCTTAGACATACCCTGCGGTCACTCTGGAAACGCTTAAGAGTGTTGTCTTGGCCAGCACTGTCTTGTAAGAAAATCTCTGTTACACAACTCCTGTGACTACATTATTTTGATACAGGGTCCCTCTATGCAGCTCAGACTCGTGGTGCTCTTCCTGTCTCAGCCTCCCTACGGCTGGGTTCACTTGGGGCCAGCACAGCATGCTGTATGGGGGATCGAACTCAGGACCTTGCGCTTGCCAGGCACGCGCTCATGCCGGGGCGCCGTCTCCCCAGCCCTGGGACTGTATACCGCGCACTCAGTCACCACACAAGCTTTCCACGCTGTACGTGGAATGTTGGTGACTTCGACTCTGCTTCATAGGGCTTTCATTAATGTTCCAAACGGTTACTGCTGAGGGTTTCCTGAAGCAGCACACGCTACATTCTGAAAGTAAAACTTAGCTCAATGATTCGGTGCAGTCTCAGGTTTTAGCCCTAATAAGCTGTGGGCTTTTAGCAGAGAGATGGATCTTTTGTTCAAAGACAGGACTAGGGCCCAGAGCCTGGGCTGGGGAGGGTGGGGAAGGGAAGGCAGACATTCCGAGGACAAGTTCCTAACCAAGGGCTTTAATACCGCTCCGGAGTTGGTATGACGAGGCAAACAGTTAGCTTTCCAAACATGTTGGGATAACTTTTTAATGTGATGTAGTTCATGAGCAGGCTAGTCTACAAATTCAGGCTTTTTCGGCTTTATTTTTGGCTTCGTTTTTTTTTTTTTCTTCCTGTGGTACTGGGGATTGAACTCAGGACCTTACACTTGCCAGGCAGATGCTTAGTCTACTGAGTCATCTCCCTGGCCTGTTCGTGGGGTTTTTTTTTTTTTTTTGAGCTTCGTAGCCCCAGCTGGTCTCCAGCTCCCATCGACCCGCTCGCCTCCGCCTCCAGGGGCTTGTAGTTTGGCTTCACTATTCTCTCTCTGATGAATACTGCATGAAGTACATGAGTAAGAGCGCTACACTGGAACTCCCGATAGAATATGAACTGTTTAAATTTATTTTTCAGATACACAAAAAAGCATTTTTAAAAGCAGTACTAGAATCTGCCAGGTGTGGTGGCATATGCCTGTAATCCCAGCACTCAGAGGGCTGAGGCAGGAAGACTGTCATGAATTTGAGGCCAGCCTCAACTGCAGTAAAACCGTCTCAAAAACGAAAAAAGGGGCCGGGGAGATAGCTCAGAGGCATAAGCACCTACCTGGCAAGCGCAACGACCCGAGTTTGATCCCCGGCCCCACATGCCAGGCAGCCTTGGCCTGGATGCCTGGGCACGCCAGCTCGGTCGGAGGCAGGCATCCAGTGTGGCCCGGACCTGGTGTGGTAGTGCGTGCCTATAATCCCAGCACTCCAGGAGGATCCCTGCGGGTCTGAGACCAGCCTGGGGACTACAACAGTGAGCATAAGGCCAGCCTGAACTGTACAGTGAGACCCTGTCTCAAAAAAAGAAAGCACTCGATATTGAACCCAGGGCCTGCACAGAGCTCCTCCCACAGCATTAGCCTTACTGTGAGACGAGGCTTCACTGTTGCTGTTGTCTGGGAGAGGACTGAACTTGGGACCTTCCTGCCTCAGCTTCTCAGAATGCTGGGAGACAGGTGTACACTGAGCACCTCCCAAAAAGCACAACTATGATTGTTTTATTTTATATGTGAATGTCAACCTTCATAAGGCACGTCCATGTTAAAATAGTTCTCTATTTACACTTTTGTACAGATGAAATTATTCACATTCTTATAAAGTTTTTTGTGCACCGAGAGCTATAACTCTTGCCGTTTGCTTGCGTCATGTGAGTGTGGAGCAGTCCGGGGTGGCCCGTTCGTCACTGCCTGTCTCTGCTGGGTGGCCTTCACAAACTTGAGCAGATTAACGATGGCAGCGGGTGTCACTCCTGGTATACGACTGGCAGCGCCAATCTAGGAATTGAAAGCACAAGAGAGGTGCCAGTGAACTACGTCACACTGAGCCTGCTGTCCTCGTGCCAGGGCAGCACAGGTCACAGAGTTCGCATCGGGGGACGGTGGCCGCCTCTGCTGCCCAGGTGGCCCCGATGTCCTGGGCTGAAGGCCTCTCCTGCCTCAGGTCCCAAGTACTAGACTACAGGGTGGGACCACCATGGGCAGCTTTCCATGTTTCCTTTTTTTTTTTTTGGCAGAACCAGGGATTGAACTCAGACCCTTGCGCTTGCCAGGGAAGTGCTGGGGCACCCACAGGCTTCGCTCTGCGCAGCTGCGTGAGAGGGGCGTGAGGGCCCGCCAGCTCCTGGAAGGTGGGACCAGCTCTGCTAGCAAATGCCGTTTAGGTGGCCAATGCTTTTCCTTTGCGCTGCAGCCCCAGCCTGGGTCTGCACATGCGGCTGGCAGGCGCTCGTCCACTGCCTCCCCAGCCCGGGGCCGCCCTGGGAGTGGAGGTGCAGCGGGGTGCCGAAGGCCTGCGCCCAGCTGCCGTGCACGTGTGGTGTCCAGCGGGGTGGCAATGCCGCGCAGCCGGCTCCTGGGCACTGAGGTATAGCTTCTGGGAGCAGCAATCTAACCGTTAACTTTAACCCCAGTGAAGGTAAGTGGCCACTCACGGCTCATGCGCCGGCTGCGCAGCTAAGGATTACTCAGAGAACGTAACTGGAAATGAGCAGGAGGGGCAGAGAAATGAGGCCTCCCTGCCCCGGGGATGGAACTCAGGCCCTTGTGCTTGCCAGGGAAGCGCTTATTCTACTGAGCCATCTCCCCGGCTCCAATAACGTACATTTTGAGGCTGGGCATGGTGGCACACGCCTGCAGTGCCAGCACTCAGGAGACTGAGGCAGGAGGGGCACCGTGAGTTTGAGGCCAGCCTGGGCTACACCGAGAGATCTTGGCTCAAAAAAGCATCTTTAAAGACACTTATTATGTAAGTCCAGCGCCTTCTAGTCAAGTCATTTTTAAAGCTTTCGCTGTTCTAACCCACACACAAGGCTGAGGTGCTGGGAGGGCCCTCCAGGCTCCCTCTCCTCGGCCCCTGCGCAGCCCTGTGCGACCCCAGGATGGGGCCCGAGGACAGCGTGACAGCCAGTCGTCACATGTGCCACGCCGTCTGTATCACACACCGAGCTGCGTGACCACGCGGTGGCGGAGCACAGGCAGGTGCAGGCTGGCCAGGTCGCATCCCAGCACACCGCGCTCACCACTCTCAGAGACCAGCGTCTGTCGTAGGCAGAGACAAACCACAGCGCTACGGGTTTTATTCCTTTTGAGACAGGGTCTTGCTATGCAGTCCAGGCTGGTCTTCCAGCTCACTCTGTAGGCCAAGCTGGTCTCGAACTGACAAGGCTCCTCCTGCCTCAGCCTCCCAAGTGCAGGGATTACGATTACCAGTGTGCGCCACCACGCCCGGCCTCCCCGGCTTTCATTAATCCCTTGTTCCTCTGCTGCATGGCCTACTTTCTTACCGTCTGCGGACGACTGAAATGCAGCTTCTCCCGAACCTCATGGGACAAGGACACATCTGTGACGCTCATGTAGTCCAGGTCTTCCGGCAGCTGCAGAGCCTCATCTCGCTGAACTTCCTTTATTTCTTCTTGTTGATGGAGCAGTACGGATTCATAAGAGGCTGGAGAACCAAAGGAGACATCTTGTCTTTTTGTTTGTTGTGCTTTCTGCCTCACTCCACAGCTCGGGCAGGCCCGGATTAATGCCGGGGCCGGATCACACGGACGCCCCCGCGCACAGCACTCACCCCGGCACACGACACAGCTCTCTTCCTCTCCCTCAGTGCCGGGGATCCAGCTCGGGACTCTGCGCTTGCCAGGCAGGCGCTTATGCCGCTGAGCTGTCTCCCCGGCCCCCAGTTGTCTTTTTCTGCAGGTGAGGGAACTAAAGGAGTAGCCAGCTGTGGTCACACAGTCCAGTAATCCCTGCACTCGGAAGGCTGAGGCAGGAGGATTGCTGCAAGTCCGAGGCCAGCCCGCTGAGGGTCTGGTGGCGTTTGCCTCCGTCAACAGATCAGCAGCCTCACCCTCACTGCAGCTGCCCTGAGAACTACAACAGGGAGGGCTGCCATCCATCCCCAGCCTGGGCCTTGGCTTCTTTATGGGGGGACTGCAGACCCAGAACAGATGCCGTCCTCAGTCACAGGCTGCAAGGACACATGCGTAGTACACGGGCTTTGAGCTGGACAGTGGAGGTCCAAATCCCGGCTGGGCCACTCACCAGCGTGGGGTCTTTAGTGAATCACTATTTCCTTATGAAGTCAGAGCAAAATGCTACGTACAGTCTGGCTTTCCCAGGTGGGTTAAAGTACCACACCTGAACTAATGCATAAAGGGTATGAGCAGGACTGTCACACATTAGTACAGCAAATTGTCACTTTGCAAACAAGAACAGACCCTCAGGGGCTCCTGCGTGTAATTAACGCCGGGGATTTATGAACAGCTCAGCATCAGCCCACTATTTCTTTTTGCAGAAGCCAGCGGGGTGTAGCACCACTCTTCTGCTTTTGAGACACGGTCTCGCCATGCAGGTTAGGCTGGCCCTGAACTCACTATGTAGCTCAGGCCGCCGCAGCCCTCCACGCGCAGGGATTCCAGGCGTGCGCCTCCGTGCCTGGCCTTGGCGCGCAGCTCTTACGGCTCTGCTGGCCGTTCACAATGTGCACAAACAGAAACAATGCGGGAAGCGTCTACCTTCTATCTTCAGCCTCTCGGCTAGCTCTCTGCATTCAGTGTACTTCGCCAGCGGGTCGGGAACGGCCTGGGCCAGTAACTCCATGTCAACTTCCTCATACTTCAGGACATCGAGAGCTCTGTAAACACACAAGTTTCCTCAACGTAAGGCTTGCCGTGCGCAGACACACCGCCACCTGCAAAATAGCAGGATTGTAAAGATTCAGGATCTGCCAGGCATGGCAGCATCTGTCTGTTATCCCAGCACTCAGGAGGCTGAGGCAGGAGGACTGCTGTCAGTTCAAGCCCAGCCTGGGCTACAAAGTGTGCTCCAGGTCAGCCTGAGCTGCACAGTGAGAGCCTGTCTCAAAAAGACAGAAGATTCAGTAAGTCAGACAATCTGACTTTCCTGGACTCTATCATGACAATTCTTCTCTTTTCTTTTTTGCGGAACCGGGGATTGAACTCAGGTCCTTGTGCTTGCCAGGCAAGCGCTTATCCTACTGAGCCATCTCCCAGTCCTATGATGAGAATTCAGTTGCTGGTGAGGTTTGCGTGGTTAGAATAAAGTGGCTCCCTTCTGCGTCAGAACTGAATTTGTCCTTCTGCATGCTGGGAACCATAAAGGTCTCTTGCTTTTTCTTTTTTTTTAAATGGTACTAGGGATTACTGGCCTTTGCATCTCTAGCTGCTTTTATTTATTTATATCTTTTCAGACAGGGTCTTCTTGCTATACAGCTCAGGCTAGCCTTGAGCTCACTCTGTAACCCAGGCTGGTCTTGAACTCGCAAAGATCCTTCTGCCTTAGCCTCCCGAGTGCTGGGATTACAGGCGTATGCTACCACATCCAGCTCTAACTGCCTTTCTATATACGCATTTTTTTCTTTTTGGAACAGGGCATTGCTATGTAGTTAAGGCTGGCCTTGAACCGAGATCCTCCCCCCATCTCCCCACATCCCCCATCTCTGGGATGACCAGAGTGTACCACCACGTGGGAAGCAGTGGAGCAGAGCTTGGTCACACATCCAGGGCTACAGAAGGCCAGCCTGTGACCATGGAGCACAAGGGGTGCTGTGTAAGGGCAGGGGCAGCCCAGCAGGGGTCTGGCCATGGTTTCCTCGCTGTTAACTACAGCAGAGATCCTCCAAGAACGTTTCCCTTGGAGTGTCCTCGGCGAATCACCAGGACCACACACTTTCGGCCCCACTGTGCACGTCCTTTTACAGGCCATGAATAAAGAGACCATGTTGGGTTACTGCCACCTCTCCATCAGCTCCCACCCGCTCCCAGCTTCCGTGCAGTGTGTGTGTACAGATTTTGCCTACTCTCCTGTCACTCCTGGGAGGACTCCGCTGGCTGTTCGGTTGGGGCACCCTAGCTCTCTCTGAAGACCAGTAAATCACTACTTCCTTATGATAACAGGAAAAAGGCTCCTTCCAGCCTGATGTTTTCTTCTACTTTGGGATACTGTTTCAATTCTTCCCTCCTGGGAACTTATGCCAGTTCTCTTAGATTCCACCCTGGGTGGGCTAAAGCCTCCTGGAGGAAAGCAAGGAGACAGGAGGACATGCCCTGCAGCTGATCAGAAGGATCCCTAGAATCCCTACCTACCTTATATGGGGCACCAAAAGAATATGCCTGAGGATGAAGCCAGCAGGAGCAGATGGGGCTTCTGGGGAGCAAAGAGCTCGGGACGTACCACTCCCAGGTCTCCCTGGCCTGGCTCCAACCCTAGTGACTGCAGGCACACCCCACCACACACCCCACGGTGGGGCTAAGAACACCACTTCCTGCTCAGTCATTTCCCACGTCGTTTACATGTGGCTTTTTTTTTTTTTTTCCAGAACCGGGGATTGAACTCAGGCCCTTGAGCTTGCCAGGCAAGCGCTTATCCTATTGAGCTACCTCTCCAGCCCCCAATGTGGCTTTTTTTGGTAGTTACTTCTTTAAAAGGCACTGTGAGAGGGACTGGGCGTGTTGCCCCCCCAGTGGGAGTAGTGGCGTCACATGCAGAAACACAACACTGCATCCTGAAATTCACATGGAATATGAAGGGCCCTACATGGCCAAAGCAACTTTGCAAAAAGAACATGGTCTGCCAGGAACAGGTGCTCGTGACACCAGTTTTCAGGGGGCAGGATGGGGGCTGATGCGGGGAATGATGAACACAAAATGGGCTAAGGACCCAAACGTCAGGCTCCAAGTTATACAACTCCAGGAAGACAACAGCAGCATCCAGGCTTGACACTGGCTTTGAAAAACATTCCTTCACTCACTTATTCACTGAGTGCTGGGATTAGATCCAGGGCAGTGACACGCTGAGCATGTGCCTGCCCAGTGAGCCAGCTGCCCAACCTCCCCTTTCGTTTTTTCAGTACAGGGTCTACAGGGTCTCAGTACGTAGATCAGACCCTGTTTTCAGCCTCCCAAGCGCTGGAATTATAGGCACGCGCCACCATGCCCAGTCTCAATGGTAGTCTCAGCCCACCTTGGGGGTGGGGCTAGCACCATACGCTGGGGATCCAACCCGGGCTGCCACGCCCTAAGCAGGCGCTTTAGTCCGTTGTGCCCACCCTTAATCAGAGGCTAACAAGTGTACCTGTAGGGCTGGGCGGCACCAGCCTGCAATCCCTACGCTTGGAGGCTGAGGCAGAATTGAGCCTGAGCAACTTAATGAGAGCCTGTCTCAAAAGGCAGAGGAAAAAAAGTGTGGCGCTCAGCGCAGAAGCCTAGCACTGCCAGGAAAACCAAACACGAGTCACGTTTAGTAAGAATACCAATTCAAAAATTTTGAAATATGGGCTGGAGAGATGGCTCAGTGGTCTAAAGCACCTACTTGAAACAAGCTTGGCAAAGCACAGGGACCGCGGTTCGATCCCCAGCACCACATGCCAGCCAGCCCCGCCCCCTGGTGAGCTGAGCTGGCCACACACACACAATAAATAAATGTAATAAAAATAAATAAATAATTTAAAAAAATTTTGAAATAGATAAATAATTGTTAAAAATAAAGCACCACCTAGGGGCCAGGATAACTCAGTAGAATAAGCGCTTGTGCGCTGGGTCCTGAGTTCAATCCTGGTATTGAGAAAACACAAGAACAAAAATAAAGCACCAGACAGACATCCAGCTTAATGACAGCACTTATCTAGCACATGCGGCCCTGGCCTTGATTCCTCATCAGGAACTGAACCGAACCGAACTGAACCGAACCAAACATCCTCGTTCAATCTCCCAAGTAATGTGAAGCCTTCTAATGAAAATTAGAACAAATGCAAACAGCTGGCGCACCGAGCAAGCTGCGAACGGCTCCTGGCTGCTGTTCCCTAGGCCAATACCGGGCCGCGTGGCTGAGACAGCGTGAGTGTTTCCCACTCGGCGGCCCGGCCCCCAGTGTGGCCATGCGGAGCCCGTGAGGTCACGTGCACACGTGCGTGTGTGTGTGTGTGTGGGGGGGGGCAGGTGCTTGGGTTCCTGACAGCGAGTGCTGCAGGAAGAGCGTACTCACCCGCCTCCCCTGGGTGCCACATGCCATGATGCCCTCACCAGCAGCCAGAGATGGGGCTGCCCAGCCCTAGCCTCGCAGCATCCACGCAGTCAGCCAGACACATATCCTTTCCACTCTTTTTTTTTTTTTTTTTCTCACTAGGGTTTCACTGTAGTCCAGGCTGGCCTTGAACTCACTCTTTGTATAGCCCAAGCTGGTCTCAAATTCTTAGTGATCTTCCCAAGTTAGGGGGGTTACAGGCTGGTAGCACCACCCCTGCCAATACATGTTTTTCTTAGTAAGTATTCAGCCTTAGGTATTTTATCACAGTAACAGAAAACCAACTAAGACAGTCGATCAGCCAATGTGTCACTGCTTTGCGCTACCCAAATCCCTGCCCTGGAACCCAGCATCCAGTGTGATGCTGTTAAGTGGTGGCCCAGTGAATGGGACTGCCTGGCGCTCACGGAGACTGCAGCGGCACCCCGCTGCTCCTGCCACACGAGGGCGCAGAAACGAGCTGTCTCTGGAACCTAAGAGGAGTCTCTTGGCAGGCATCCGATCTGCTGGTGCCAGAGGCTTGGCTTTTCTCTGTCCAGAACCACAAACAATTTCTGTGGTTTATAAATTACACAGTTACCTAGTGTGGTGGCGCGCACCTACAGTCCCAGCACTGGTAAGGCTGAGGCAGGAGGATCGCTGAGTTCAAGGCCAGCCTAGACTACACACAGTGAACCCGTCTCACAAAACCCCCAAGCTAAATTCCACAGTCTAAAGTTTCTTGTTTTGAAGATTTTCATTAATTTTGGGGTGTGAGGAGTCAAATACAGTGTCTCATGCATCCTAGCCAGTCCACACGAGACACAAGGAACATGTCTGTGAATCCTTTAGACTCAGAGTTCAAACATCGAGAATGGTTAAAAACAAAGACAAAATACCTGAAATGGAGCAAGGGTCTTTTCACATAAACTGAAGGAATTTATAATGCTCTGCTTTGTTTTGTCAAGAGACTCCTTGCTGTAGCTCATGGGTAGGACCAGACCATACAGTTGCTCTGAGCCTATTACACAGAACTCCTTAGTTTGGGTCTTTTAAACCTTTGGAAAGGCCAGTGTGGAGGCAAATGCCTGTCATTCCAGCACTCAGGAGGCTGAGGCAGGTGGGAGGATCCTTGCAAGTTTGAGACCAGCCTGGACTACAAAGTGAGCTCAAGGCCAGGCTGAGCTGCAGAGTGAGACCCTGTGTCAAAATGACACGCACACACAAACTTGGGAAAATCAAAGGCCTCAAGTAAAAGTCACAGAAAAATGACATAAAAAATAAAAAGTCATGTATTTTATATGATTTTTAAAAATATACATGTATGCACGCACACACACACACATATATATTATATGCTATGTGTTCTACCACTGAGCTGTACCCTTAGCCATGTGTGTGTGTGTATGTATGTATGTATGTATGTGTGTGTGTATTTTTTTCTTTTTTCTGTTTTTGAGTGCTGGGATTATAATTCATACATAGTTTTTTAAGTCAGAGTGTACAGGGTCTCAGGGTCTCACTAAATAGATCAGATTCATAGTTATCTGCTTGTGTTCAGCCTCCCAAAGAGCTGGGATTTCAGGTGCGCGCCACCACGCCCAGTCTCTATCTCTGTCTAGCATGCCCTGGGGGTGGGGCTGGCAGGGCATGCCAGGAATCGAACCCTGGTGGCTGCGTCTGCCTAAGCAGGTGCTTTAATCTGCTGAGCTATTTTGCTGGTCCTCATACATATTTTTAATACACAAGAAATAGGTGAGAGGCTGGGGAGACAGCTTGGCCGTGTAAGCGCCTGCCCACGTGCCATGCTGTGCCGCTCCAGAACTGGATTTGGTGGCACATGGCTGTAATGCCGGCACTAGGGAGGCTGAGACAGGAGGTTCACTACAAGTCTGAACTATGTGGTAAGACTCTGTATAAAAAAAAGATAGAAGTAAAGAAAAAGAAAAAAAAAACAAAAAACAGGTGAGTTGTATATAAAGCTTTCTGACAAGGAGCCTTGAATGAGTGATAGTCACGTAAAATGTAGGCAGGGAATTTACTGGCGATGCTGCACTGCAATAACCTAATTTGTCTGCAAAGAGTGAAAAATACACACCTGACAGGGTCACTCCTGCTGGTACTTATAGAAGCCTGTGGGACTAACTTTTTCCACTTGGTGCTTGAAAACTCAATGGATTCCAACGCAGAAAGGCCTTCTTCCAAGGATGTCTTCATCCACGCAGCTCTGTCGTACCGCTGCTGGGACACACAGCCAGCGTCCTTGTACCCTAGGAAGGAGAGCACATGGTAGTGGGCGAGGCTTTGGCCAAGAGGAAGCCAGGCTGCAGGGTGCAACAGAGTCACCTCGGAACGTGAGCCGGCTGTCGGCGTTGTCCGGGCGCAGCGACAGGCGGAACTCGGCGCGGCTGGTGAACATGCGGTAGGGCTCACTGGTGCCATGTGTGGTGAGGTCGTCGATCAAGACGCCGATGTAGCCTTCCGTTCGGCTGACAATGAAGGGCGGCCTGCAGCGGACCCGAAGACTGGCGTTCACTCCGGCTATCACACCCTGTCGAAAAGGCCACGAGGAATGAGAGAGGGAGACGCTGCCTCAGAGAAGACCTAGCCTGGGCAGGCAGCACAAGGCGCGAGGAAAGTGAGCCCAGAACACAGACCTGTGCGCAGAACAGGCACACGGGGGGTGCTCCGTTCTAGTGTGCTCCGCCTCACCCTTCTCACACAGCTCATCTTTTTTCTAAGAGCCACCTGTGAGCCTTTTAGCTCTTTCCCACTTATAAATAAAAAATATTTCTTTTGGATTTAATTAATTTGTGGAGACAGGGTTTTACTATGTAGTTCAGGCTGGTCTTGAGTCCACTCTGTAGGCCAGGCTGACCTTGACCTCTCAATATTCCTCTTGCCTCAGCCTCCCAAGTGCTGGGATAACAGGCAGGCACCACCAGGCCCGGCCAGTTTGTTATTTATAAGAAAGAACAGGGGCTTGGTCCCCAGCACCATGTGCCATGCTGGCTCTACCCCAGGGCGTGCTGAGCCAGCCACTGAGTCTGGGCGTGGTGGCACACACCTGTAATCACGGTGCTGCGGAGGCTGAAAACAGGAGGATCACTATGAGTCCGAGCTGTGCAGTGAGACCCTATATCAAATACATTAAAAAAAAAAAGGCTGAGACAAGAGGATCACTATGAGTTTGAGGCCAGCCTGAACTGTACAGCAAGGGCCTATCTAAAAAATAAAAACAAAAACACAATCTTCAGAAGCAATCTGATAAATTTAATCAAAATATGACACCAGGCAAGGCATGGTAACTTTGCCTGTAATCCCAGCAGTAAGGGAAGCCGAGGCAGGAGCATTACAAACTCAATCCCAGTCAGAGCAACTCAGTGAGTTAGCAAGCCCATTTTAAAAAAAAGAAATTAGGGGCCAGGGAGATGGCTCAGTGGAATATATGCTTCCCTGGCAAGTGCAAGGGCCTGAGTTCAATCCCCGGTTCCACCAAAAAAAATAAATAAAAAAAATCTTAAAAAAAAGAAATTAAAAGGTCTGGGAATGTAGTTAAGTGGCAGCATGCTCTTGCTTGACCCCCAGTATTGAAATAATTTTTATTTATTTATTTTGCGGAACCGGGGATTGAACTCAGACCCTTCGCTTGCCAAGGAAGCGCTTATTCCACTGAGCTATCTTCCGGGCCCCTGAAAACATTTTTAAAAACACATCAGATGTGTTTAGTGTAAGGTCCTGAGTTCAATCCCTGGTACAAAAAAAAAAAGTTTAGAAGACTCATAAAGCCCAGTGGCTGGGCTGGTGGTAGACAGTTAGAACACCAGTACCCGAGGGGCTGAGGCAGGAGTACTGCATGTCAAAGCCCAACCTGGGCAACTCTGAGACCCTGTCCCCAAAATATAAAAAAGGTCTGTAATGTAGCTCAGGGTGAAGGCCGAAGCCCCGCACCAGTCCCAGCGCCCCGTCCAAAGAGCCACATGTTCTACAAATTCTGTTTCAGAGTTTCAGATGCCCTGGACACACGCTGTCTCCTGCTCACGGTTATATAGCTAAGCTGCAGCCGGGAGAAGAGGAGCCCGTCACGTGGGCCTCTGGATGACGCTGCACCTGAACATGATCCTACCTGCGCAGCGGCTTCCTCATAACCCGTGGTGCCGTTGATCTGTCCGGCAAAGAAAAGCCTCTGAACCAAACGGGTCTCCAGGGAAGGCGTGATCTGCCGGGGGTCGAGGTAATCATACTGAACACCGTAGCCTGGCCAAAGAACAAACAGCACAAAGTAAGAGAAACTGTTGTTTCCCTAAGAAGGAGATGCAAAGACCACCACTAACTGCCCTTGGAAAACAGAGATGGTTCAGATGCATGGGAAGGCCCCGGGCCTCCTGTCCTAAGCCCTGCCCCCACTCGTGAGCAGCGCAGGGCCTGCGGGTGGAGAGCCGGGTCTGTTCCCGCACCGGGCTGGACCACTCTGGCTTTCTCCAAGCCTCGGATGCACGTGATCATCTTCTCCTGCAACTCGGCCGGCAGCGTCACCGACAACCCCTGAGGGTAGACAAGGTCAGAGTCCAGTCCTTCAGGTTCCAGCCAAACCTGATGCATGCGGTTTGGAAAACGCAAAACCTTGGATTCGATGGAGGGGCAGTACCTAGAGCGAGACAGCGAAGAACAAATGAGATGCGGACAGGCCGATGTCGCTTGCAGGGGGGCGAACACCAGCCACCCGTCCTCACCGGGGCCCTTTCGTTGTTTCCCTCACATGGCTGTTGAGGTGAAGGTTCTCGAGGATGATGGCGTCCACTCTGGGGTTGGTGTGAGTCAGGTGACAGGGCAGCTGATCTTCAGGCTAAGAAAGTAACCAGGACACACGTGGTACTGTTTCGCGCTCTACTAGTTTGCCCCCCATTCATCAATTCCACATGACGTTTAATAGACAACACGTTGTTTTAAGAGACAGGTTCTCATTGTAGTTCAGGCAGGCTTTGAGTTCACCTTGTAGCCCAGGACGGCCTTGAACTTGAGGCAATTTCTGCCTCAGCCTCCTGAGTGCTGGGATTACAGGCGTGCGCCACCATGCCTGGCTGACAATACTTTATAATGCAGTGCTTCTTATGAAGTTTTCTTGCCAAAACCCCAAAAGATGAATCTAAATCTAAGCCAGCCTAGATCTAAGCAGCGGTTTAGGGGAAAAGGCTAGCAGAACAGACACCAGGAGCATGGGTTGGACAGATGCAGGCTGTGGGACACTCTACAGAACAAGTACCTCAACTGCTTCCGCTTATGACTGGCACAAAGAAAACCGAGAAATGGTTCTAAAACAGCCTCTGACAGACCTTATTTGGTTCCTAGTACAAATGAAACGACGATATACACATCTTTTTCAGAGTGAGGAATGGAGGTACACACTTATAACCCAGCTACTTAGGAGGGTGAGGCAGGACGATGGCTAGTTTGAGTTTTGTTTGGACAAATCAGCAGGATCATACTGCAAAATAAAATTCAAAGCGTGGGGAGGCAGAGCGCTGGCCTAGCTTGCATAAGGCTTGGGCTCAATCTTCAGCACCGTTGCATGAACGAATGAGGCACTTAGGGAAAACGGAACATGCAGCACTTGATGATGCTGAGAAAAGTTTGCTGGGTATGATAATGGTGTGCTTGTTTTTTTTTAAAGCTCTTTTTGATTAGTGACATACGCACGCCAAAGCACAAGTGAAATGATGTGATATGTGCAATCATGGCTTTAAAACTCGGCAAGGGGCCGGGGAAATGGCTCAGTAGAATAAGCGCTTTCCTGGCAAGCGCAAGGGCCTGAGTTCAATCCCTGGTTCTACAAAAAGAAAACAAAACAAAAACAAAAACAAAAAACACCTCAGCAAGGAGCTGGGCATAGTAGCCCGTGTCCGTAATCCTAGGAGGCTGAGGCTGAGGCTGAGGCCAGAGGATCGCTGTGAGTTCAAGCCCAGCGTGGGACACATATTGAGATTAAGGCCAGCCTGAATTACCAAGCCAGACTCTGTCTTGAAAAAAACAACATAAAATAAAAGCCAATCATTAGGATATTTACCACTAATAAATACTGTTCAATTCTTTGTGTGTGTGTGTGTGTGATTTTTTGCTTTTATTTTAGAGTAAAATAACAAACTCAGAAAATTCTGTAGAAAAAATGCTCTTAGAACTGTAGAACTCTTGTGAAACAGTGGCAGCAGCAGACACACAGCTCAGAAGTGGGGCCTGCTCTTGCGGCCGGAGTCCTGGGCATAGGGCGGTTTCCTTGTCCTGCCACCACAGCCCACTCTTGGCTCTTCTTCACCACACCCCACCGTGCCAACCCTTGCAGGGCTCGGGCTCCAGGCCTGGGGCGCCGGTGTAGTACTGCTCAATTCTAAACAAACACTACAGCACATTACTTAAAACAAAAAACAACTAAAAAGAAAAGGCAAGCCAGGTGTGTGGCACATGGCCGCGATCCCAGTGCTAAGGGCTGAGGCAAGAGGATCACACTGAGCTTACAGCCAGCCTGACCCAGCAGGACCTGGTCTGAAAAAACACAAACAAAACAAAACGCAAATAAGGCAGACTGAGGAACTGTTCCACATTAAAAAGAGATGAAAGCTTTTTACCAAGATGGCGCCAAAGGTGAAGAAGGAAGCCCCTGCCCCTCCTGACGCTGAAGCCAAAGCAAAAGCTTTGAAGGCCAAGAAGGCTGAGCTGAAAGGCGTCCACAGCCACAGAAAGAAGATACGAATGTCGCCCACCTTGCCCTGTCCCAAGACACTGCAGCTCTGGAGGCAGCCCAGATACCCTCAGAAGAGCGCCCCCAGGAGACACTAAGCCATCATCAAGTTCCCCGGGCCACAGAGTCAGCCATGAAAAAGGTCGAGGACAATAACACACTCATGTTCACTGTGGATGTCAAAGCCAATAAGCACCAAATCAAACAAGCTGTGAAGAAGCTCTATGACATCGATGTTGCCAAGGTCAACGCCCTAATCAAGTCTGATGGAGAGAAGGCGTAAGTTCGACTGGCTCCCGATCATGATGCACTGGATGTTGTCAACAAAACTGGGATTAACTAAACTGAGTCCAGGTGGCTAATTCTAAATATATACTTTTTACCCAGTTAAAAAAAAATTTAAAAAATGACAGCTGAGTAAGGTGGTGACACCCACCTTACTGAGGCTGAGGTACAAGGAGCTTTTGAGCCTGAGTTCAGGGCCAGCCTGGGCAACACGGCGAGACCCTGGAGAAGGAGGGGAGCGGAAGGACCAGGAGGGCAGAGGAGAGAGGGGAGGGCTGCAGGGCCGCTCTGGACACCGCCGGAAGGATCAGCAAAGCAGGCTGCGGATCTTGTCAGAGAACACGCGCCGTGTCCGTGCTGCACTCCCGTGCTGTCCCACCGTACTGAGGGTGCAGGACGGGCCCTGTCAGCTGAGACCCGACCGAAGTGCTCGGGGGCGAAGGCTCGAGACCTCTGCACCCTACTCTCAAACATGCCAGAATACCTTCCTGTTTTTTTGGTTGGGTGGTGGACGTGAGACAGCCCTGCTGTGTAGTCCAGGCTGGCCTGAGCTTGCTGTGGTCTGTATCTCGCTTCACTGCCGTACATGTTACACCTGCACATCACTATCTACGTCTGACTTTATACACAAGGAGGTAAGTGTGGAAAAATACTGAAAACAGGCCATTTTCATTTATTTATTTATTTATTTATTTATTTATTTATTTATTTGTGTGTGTGGCCAGCTCAGCCCACCAGGGGGCGGGGCTGGCTGGCATGTGGTGCTGGGGGATTGAACCGCGGTCCCTGTGCTTTGCTAAGCTTGTTCTAAGTAGGTGCTTTAGACCACTGAGCCATCTCACCAGCCCATTTATTTATTTATTTATTTATTTATTTATGTGTAAACAGGCCATTTTCAATGGTGTAGAGAAATATGTTTTAATAGTCTTTACAATTTTTCTGTGTGTCTGAAATTATTTAAAAAACAGGTAAAGTGGGGCCGGGGAGATGGCTCAGGAGAATAAGCACTTCCCTGGCAAGCTCAAGGGCCTGAGTTCAATCCTCAGTTTCACACACACACACACACAAAAGGTAAAGTTAAGCACATGTACAGCCTGGAGCCCTAGCACATGGGAGGCTGAGGCATGAGGATCACAAGACTGAGGGCAGTGTAGGCCACACAGGCATACCCTGTCTCAAAAATTAAAAGAAAAAGGCTGGGATGTAGTTTGGCCTTATGGCAAGCGTGAGGCCATGAGTTTGATTCCTGCTACCCAAAAATTAAAAAAAAAAAAAAAATTGTTTCGTACCAGGTATTGAAATCAACCTCACACTTGCCAGCCATGCGCTGTGCTACTGAGCTAACTCTCCAGCCCCCAAAATGAAAACATTTAGAAAAATGAAGAGGGTGGGCATGGTGGCACACGCCTGCAATCCCCTCACTCTGAAGGCTGAGGCAGGAGGTCTGGACCACTGTGAATACAAGGCCAGCCTATACTACATAGTGGGATCCTATCTCAGAAAAAAAGTAAAAATGGTAAAATAGCCAAGTGGTGACACTGAACAAGTAAGCGAACACCCCAGGACCAAGTCAGCTAGTACGTTCACCGATCACTTCTTCGCACCCAAGTAATAGGGACACAAGAAAGCAGCGGCTATGCTGCCGCCTGCTGCGAGCAGCCAGTATCGACTAGGAAGCCAGGCTCCGTCAGCCTCTTACCTTAATCCACACTGTCTCACTGAGAAAGCTGAATGGTACAGACGGATCATCCGGAGTCTGCGCCTTGAGAACGCTGAAATCAATGGAATCTCGGGCAAGCCGGGGTGGAGTCCCTGTCTTCAACCGTCCCACCACAAAGCCCAGCTTCTCCAGCGTCTGAGCCAGCCCTACAGAGGGCTGATCCCCCAGCCGCCCCGCGGGGTGCATCTCCAGTCCAATCACAACCAGGCCTCTCAGAAACGTCCCAGTGGTCAGGACCACACTCTCTGCATGGACTGTGCTTCCATCCACTAAACAAGAAGAAACAAAACTGTTTTCTCGCAGAGCAAAATGGAATGCGACTGTTTTACAATGAAGCCAAGGAACATTTTCTATCTTTAGAAACTTGAAAATCTTTTCCAAATACACATAGTGTCAGGTGTACTGGTGCACTCCTGTAATCCCAGCACTCTGAAGGCTGAGGCAGGAGGATTGCTGCAAGTTCGAGGCCAGCCTGGGGTACACAGCGAGTTTAAGACCAGCCTAAACTACACAGTGTGAGACTCTGTCTCAAAACAAAACAACTGTTTTTAGTTTTTATTTTGATCTTTATTGAGGTGTGACTGATGAATGAAAACATATTTACCTAAGTTGTACAACGTGGTATTTTATGCTGTCAAGATTCCTACAGTGAAGTTATTGAACATACCCACGGCCTGACCATTACCTCCTTGTGAGAGACAAAGCCCAGGCTGGCCCTAAACCCGCGCCTCGCAAAGCTCTCAGCCCCAAGTGCGAGGGCCGGGACCACAGGCGCACGTGACCATGCGGGCCCTGGGCTACCACAGCCACTGTCTGGCTCAGCAGTCCGAGTGCCTGCCTGGTAACTGGAAGCCTTCAAGTTCGATCCCTGGTACTGCGTGCCCTGCCAGTCCTGGAACCCCAGGGGTACCATGCCGCCCTGAAACCGGGCATGGTGGCACGTGCCTGTAATCCCAGCACTGGGGAGGCTGAGACAGGAGGATCACTATGAGTCCGAGCTGCATAGTGAGACCCTATACAAAATAAATAAATGATAAAAATTTTTTAAAAATTTATTTATTTTTGACATTTATTTAGTGTGTGTGTGTGTGTGTGTGTGTGTGTGTGTGTGGCCAGCTCAGCCCACCAGGGGGCGGGGCTGGCTGGCGTGTGGTGCTGGGGAATCAAACCGCGGTCCCTGTGCTTTGCCAAGCTTGTTCCAAGTAGGTGCTTTAGACCACTGAGTCCCCGATAAAAAAACTTCTAAAAAATGTTCACTTCTTTCCATTAGAAAAATGAAAATCAGGGGTCAGGGAGACAGTTCAGTAGTATAAGCACTTCCCTGGCAAGTGCAAGGGTCTGAGTTCAATCCCTGGTTCCGCCAAAAAAAAAAAAAAAAAGAAAAATGAAAATCAAAACAACGCTGATATTCTTTCACCTTACTTCACAACGAATGGCTATCAAAAAGAATAAAAGAAAGACAAAGAGAGAAAGAGAGGTAGATAGATCAATTCATTGAGTAGTAGCAAATGCCAGAGGTTGCAGGGAAAAGGGATTCTCTTTTCTTCAGTACCAGGGCTCAAACTCAGGACCCTGCACGGGCCAGGCAGGTGGTTATGCCACTGAGCTATCTTCCCAGCCCCTAGGAAAAGGTACTCTCTAAGGTACACTGTTGGTGGGAATGTAAACTAATATAACCACTACGGAAATCAGTATGGCAATTCCCCAGAAAGCTAAAATCAGAAGTTCTATTCAACCCAGCTATTCCCCTTCTAGATCACCTTTCCAAAAGAGTTAAAGCCAGGGAGATGGCTTGGTAGAATAAGTACTTGCCTAGTAAGTGCAAGGGCCTGAGTTTGGTCCCCGGTTCCACCAAAAAAAAAAAAAAAAAAAAAAAAGAGTTAGAGACACCCCATTACAGCAGTAGATGCGCAGCTCTGTTCACAGCGACACAGCTGTAACAGTTCAGTCCTGGAGGCAGCCCATCTGGCCGGCAGATGCATGGATAAAGAAGTGCAGCATCAGCTGGGCGTGTGGCGCAGGCCTGTAATCCCAGCACCCACGAGGCTGAGGCAGGAGGATGCTTGCGAGTTCGAGAGCAGTCTGGGCTACAAAGTGAGCTCAAGGCCAGTCTGAACTGCACAGCAAGAAAGAAAAAAAGAAAAGAAAATGTGATGTGGAGCACTGCTCTGCCCTGAAGGACACATCTCAGTCACCTGTAAGAGGACACCTGAGATGTCTCCCCGAGACACCGACGCACCTGAGACCATGAACTACACGCTACATGAAATACAGCAGACACACAGGCTTCAATATTGCGAAACTTCTTGTCTACTAGGAACCTGAAGTATACGTGAAGACAAAACAGATCATCTTTTACAAATGTGAAGGAGTGAGGGGAGAGGGAAGGGGAAGGAAAGCAGGAAAGAATCCGGATGCGTGCTGCGTACATGTACGTTCCAAATCCTCACGTATGTGAATATAATCATTATATATTGCAAACAGGTACAAAATATTTTTAAAATAATAAAACAAATGATTATAAATAAATAAAATCAGTAAATCTATATGCCAAAATAACTATTCACATAGCTATACAATAAAACAACCCGCGGTGATGGCACATGCCTGCAATCCCACCACCTGGGAGGCTGAGGCAGGAGACTGCTGTGAATTCGAGGCCAGGGGATACGCAGCAAGACCTTGCCTTGAAAGAAAAAAAAAGAAAAAAAGATGGCTACAACTCAAGGATCCAGAGAAAAGAGGAAGAGACCAGGAAGACAGACTCCTTGGCCCTACAAAGGCTCTGAAGCTGAGGAACTGAGGAACATGGCCTTGAAGCTTGGGACTAAATGAGAGACACTGTTGAAATGTACATAGTGCACTTCTGTCCCCACACAGATCTGCCTTCCAGGAAGGCGAGATTCCCTCTCCTGCTAATAAGGGGAACCGTTTAATGGGGATGCGGGTCAGCCTAGGATGATGGGAAAGACCTTGCAAATGCACTTAGTGACTCTCACTGTAGGGTTAGAAATGGCTGAAAGACAGATCTTAATGTTACGTCTGTCCTATAACAAGGCAGCAGCAACAAAGGACTAACTGGGCGTGCTAGCGCAGGCCTGTGACTCCAGGCTCTGGGAGGCTGAGGCAGCAGGACTGCAAGACTAAGCCCAGGCTGGAAAATGAAGCGATTTAGCAAGACTGTCTTGAAATTCAAACTAAACAAAACAAAACACCTGGGATTTAGCTCCGTGGGAAAGCCCCAGGTCCAGTCCCTAGCACTGCAGCAGCAGCAGCAGCAGCAGCAGCAGCAGCAGCAGCAGCACCACCACCACCACCACCGCCGCCACCGCGGTCCGCATTTATCAAGGAGGTTATGGTCCAGACACCCCCGCGTAAGTGAAAATCAGAGAAGCAGCGACGATATATTTACTTTAGTATTTATATATACCTTAAGGCTTTATAAACCCTTCCTGCACTCTCATAAACCTTTCCTACACGTTTAAAAACACTTCTAATGTTAACCATTTTCTAAACTCATAAACTTACATAATTTTATTTTTTTCAGAACTGGGGATTGAACTCAGGCCCTTGTGCTTGCCAGGGAAGCGCTTATTCTACGGAGCCATCTCTCCCCAACTTACATAATTTTAACAACATATCTATACTGCAAAATCCCACAACATAGCGAAAAATCTGCATTAATTTAGATTAGTACTTTTTAAAAACATGTGAACCAGTGAGTCTGCGAAGGTCGGGCTTCGAAATAGCAAGGGACTACTGTACAATAAAGCCAAAACAAAACTGCATTGTTACAGCTGTAAAATATAGATAAGGTAAAAAAATAGCATTTAATGGGGCTGTAGCTCGGTGGTAGAGTGTCTGCTTAAACAGCGAACGACGCTGGGTTCAAGACTCAGTACCATTCAAAACAAAAAAAGTAGTGCAGAAGTTTAGACGGTTTAAAGGTATAAAAATCTATAATAAAAACAGGGTCAGGAAGATAGCTCAGCGGCACAGCCCCTGCCTGGCAAGTGCAAGGCCCTGAGTTTGATTCCTGGTACCCCAAAACAAAAAAAAATCTGCAAGAAAAGCAATTTAGTCATTATATCTGGAGAAGAAAGAAGGCTTGCCTGGCACGTGCAAGACTCTGGATTCAGTTCCTGGCACAACAAACAAACAAGGCTCTTAACTGTCAGAACACACAAAATCACAAACTTTTTTAAGAAAAGAACTACTGCCTCCCCAAGCAAAGATGATATGGAATAACGTGAAAAAACCTGAAAAATCTCAGACTAACCTCACAGCCTAGAAATACATACAAATCTACGAGCACAATTAAAATGTATCAAAACCTAGCAGGGTGGGGTAGGAACTCAGCACAGACCCCTTCTCTGGTGCCCAAGGCCCTGGTCCATCCCTAACACCACAAAGCAAAACACCTTATGCAGCGCTACTCTAAGGACAGGTAAACACAAAAATATGTTTTTTTTTTTTTTTAAATGTATTTAGTACAGGGTCTACAGGGTCTCACTACACAGATCGGACTCTTAGTGATGGTCCTGTTTTCAGCCTCCCAAGTGCTGGGATTACAGGCATGCGTCACCACACCGTCTCAACTGCCATCTCAGCGTGGCCCAGGGGTGGGACCAGCACAGCACACTGGGGATTGAACTCAGCCGCTGCGCTCTGCCTAAGCAGGTGCTTTAATCCACTGAGCTATCTGGCCGGCCCTAAAGATGCAGTATTACAGCTGCTAATAACTGACTAAAGGGGATTAGTCCCTGTGGTGCCCGCTGCACGACGGCAATAGTTTCGTAGCCACCCCCGCTGCTACTGCAGGGAGCCTGGAGAGGCTACCACGTCGCACCGCTTTTGAGCTCCTCTTTCCACTACCTCGAACACGGCAGTTTTGAATGATCGCTCATGGATTTGCATATTTTGCATCCTATATAAGATATATGGGGCTGCAGCTCAGCAGCAGAGTGTCAGGAGACTACCTTATAAACAAAATAGTATACAAAATATGTGTTAGGAGACTATCTTATCAGTAAGACCTTAGGTGAACAGGATGCTATCAGTAATTAACTTCTGGGAGAGCCAAAAGCTCTCTACCGAGGCAGGGTGGTGGCACACAGCTATAATTCCAGCACTGGGGAGGCTCAGACAGGAGGAGCACCATGAGTTCGAGGACAGCCTGGGCTACATAGTAAGTCCAAGGCACACTGAACTACATAGTGAGACCCTGTCTAAAACAAACAAACACAAATCTATTGTTAAAATTCCTTTTTTTTTTTTTTTTTTTGCGGAACTGGGGATTGAACTCAGGCCCTTGCGCTTGCTGGGGAACCGCTTATTCCACTGAGCCATCTCCCCGGCCCCTAAAATTCTTATATAAATTAGATAAGATAGCAGATTCACAAGCCAAGAGTAGGATGCTAAGAAAAAAAAAATCAGAAGAAAGAAAAGATGATTCATATATGAAAGTAACACATTTTCAAAAACGCCCTGGCCTGCTGCGAGCAGCTCTCCTCGGCACTGCCCCCGCCCCACCACTCCGCTTCGGAGCTACCCCACAGCGAACTGAGACGTCCACCACGAGGGAGCCCAACGAGCCTCCCCTGTCAGCCTGTGGGGGTCGGGTATCAAGTCTCAGTGATACGAAGGCCACTAACACAGACTTGGTACTGCAGGAGCAGGGTGGCACTGGAAAGGGGGAAACTGCTCACACATGTGTGCAGGGCCAAGGCAAAGCCAGCGCCAGAGCAGGGCCAGTTCAAAGTGAAGCACAAGGACAAGCTGTTCGGCTCGCAAACAAGTGGCTAGGCAGGGGTTACAGCTGGCGCCAACCTCCCGGATTCAGATTAAAGGCTCTGCAGCCCTTGGGCAGTTCCTTTCCTCCCAGCCGGAGGGAGCTCCCCCTGACCTCCGCTTCTGCCTCTTCTCAGTTCTCTCACTGCCCCAGCCCACCCCACCACTGAGAGCTAGCAGGAAGAAACAATTCAGAAGGCTGCTGCTGGGCCAGGGATAGAGCGCAGGGCACAGCACCCGCCTGGCAAGCACCAGATCCGGAGCTCAATTCCTAGCACCCTTTCCCCACACAGAAAAAGAAAGTTTCTTTTCTTTTCTTTTTTCTTTTTTTTTTTTTTTTTGGCGGAACCAGGGATTGAACTCAGATCCTGGCGTTTGCCTGTCAAGCACTTATCCTACTGAGCCATCTCCCAGGCCCAGAAAAAGGTTTCTGCTGGGAAGGAACTACACTGGCAGTTGGACTCCAGACCATGTGTCAGGGTTTTGCAGAAAATTTGTCAGCACTTTGCCCGTGTCCACAGACTTTTGTCTGAGACTAAGACTAAAGGCAGTGGACTAACTAACATGGCAGAAGAAATTCCAAGGCAGTCTAATGTTGAGATGGTAGGGTAGTACTGTGTGTGTGTGTGTGTGTGTGTGTGTGTGAGAGAGAGAGAGAGAGGGGGAAGTTTTGGCCAGTTCTGTGCTGAGAACAAAAAATAAATAAATAAATAAACTCAAGCAATGAAACATCCCATTTCAGTGACAACCAAAAGAATACTGAAGGTCACATTTCTGTGTGTGTATTTATGTGTATAGTTTTGTGGTTTTTTTGTTTTTTTTTTGGTATAGGGTCTTGCTATATAGTTCAGACTCATAGTGGTACTGGGGATAAAACTCAGCACTCTGTGTTTGCCAGGCAGGCACTTAGACCACACAGCTCTCTCCCATGTGTGTGTATAGTTTTGAGACTGAGTCTAACACCATAGCCCACGTTAGCCTAGAACTTGTAGTGATCTTCTGCCTCAGCCTCCTAGGCACTAGAATTATAGTTACGCACCACCATACCCGTGTGAGGGAAACTATTTTAAAATTTCAGAACTTTTGCTCTCAAATAAATTTTCTTTTTTTAAAAAAAAATATTTATTTATTTTGTGTGTGTGTGTGGCCAGCTCAGCCCACCAGGGGGCGGGGCTGGCTGGCATGTGGTGCTGGGGGATTGAACCGCGGTCCCTGTGCTTTGCTTAGCTTAGCTTGTTCTAAGTAGGTGCTTTAGACCACTGAACCATCGCACCAGCCCCTCAAATAAATTTTCTACATGCAATTTGGTAAGTATTACCAGCACCTGTACCAGTACATACCCAAAACAACACCACGGACACGGCACTTCCCAGCGTGCCCAGGCTCTGGCTCTGTGAGAATGAGATCCTCCACGGCTCCCTCCTGGACAGTGAGCAGCGGCGTACTCAGGATTTCTCTCTGTCGACAGACAATGCCAGCTGACACGGGGCTGTCACACACTCACCGCGGTCTTCCCTGTTCTAATGCTGTATTCTTCTTACCTGCATGTTTTGTTTATAGAGTTTCCTATCAATCTGAGCTCGTAGTCCCCACACAGCGGGCCCCTTACGCCGATTTAGGACTTTGTAATGCACACCAGACTGGTCACAGATACGAGAACACAGGCCATCCAAGGCATCCACTTCCCTCATTAAATGTCCCTTCCCAATGCCACCGAAGGAAGGATTACAGGACATCTGACCTGGAGGGAAGACAGGAAATAAACGTATGAGCACCATGCACAGTGTTTAGGAAGGAAATGTTCCTCCAGGTGACCAGAATCACCTTAGTATACGACAAACAACAGAAAGCTAGAAATATATACCATGCAGAAAATCCTAAGTTCTCCAGTGTTCCTACTGCTTGGCTGACCCACCTGTCTACCTGCTGCCCTTCCTTTGCAGTACTGGGACCTGAGTCCACGGTCTTTGTACTGAGCTATATCTCAGTCCTTTTCAAATTTTTTTATTTAGACACAGGGTCTTGCTATGTCACCAAGATTGGGCTTGAACTTGTCAGCGCTCCTGTCTCACATCCCCAGAGTGCTGGGATTTCAGGTGTGCACCACGCACCTGTCCCTGATCTTTCTCTTGAATCTTTTTTCTTTCTTTCTTTCTTTTTTTTTTTTTTTTTGCATTTTAGGGAAGGGTCTATAGGGTGTTCAGGTCTGTACTAGATCAGACTCATAATGATCCTCCTGTTTACAGCCTCCCAACAGCTGGGATTATAGGCACATGCCACCAAGCCCAGTCTCAATCACAGTTTCAGCCTGCCCCAGGGGCAGGGCCACCTGGGGGATAGAACCCAGCTCCTTGGCCAGCCCTCTGATACATTCCTTAATGTATCTATTTTTACTGTTTCAGGAGGTTGGCTCTGAAACATGGACTGTGGGGCTGGAGAGATGGCTCAGTGGTCTAGAGCACCTACTTAGAACAAGCTTAGCAAAGCATCAGGGACCACGGTTCAATCCCCCAGCACCACATGCCAGCCAGCCCCGCCCCCTGGTGGGCTGAGCTGGCCACACACACACACCTCTCTCTCTCTCTAATAAAAAAAAAAATTAAAAACAAAACAAAACATGGACTGTGTATCTCTTGCAGCCTTCCTCAAGAAGCACTTTTGTTCCTGGTATGGAACATGAATCCAGGGTACTTAACCACTGAGCAGCACCCCAGCCCCTTTTATTGTTTATTTTGGGACAGTCTCACTAAATTGCCCAAGCTCGCCTTGCGCTTGCAACCTTCCCACCGCAGCCTGCTGAGTAGGTGGGACTACAAGCGTGCACCAACACACCGAGCTTCAAGCAAAACCGCACAAGTCCCTTGGCAATGGCTCAGCAACCATGGCTCATAAATGCCACTTATTTTTGCTCTTCTTTTGTAGGCATAATGAAGTTATAAACTTCTTGAAAGTAAAGGCCGTATTTCATCCATTTCCTTTAAACTAACCCAGTCTTGGTTGGAGGTCTAAATCTATGTGGTTGCCTCAAAGATTTTTTACATGAGGTGCATGTGCAGGCAAACTGCGTCAGCACTGACACATCTGCTGAAGCTCCTCAGAGTTTTAATGACCTCCGGGGAGGGGGAACAGTGCTGGGATGATAAGCATTAGGTCTGTGTGAGTACGAAGAATGTACAGAACAATCCAGCTCAATTTTTAGATCTACCACTTCAGGCCGCCTAACTTTTTATATCTGAGTTTCACTACTGTGAAGACAGGAATGAAGACGAGAGATAATTTTCCGCCTTATTCTTTTGCAGCAATCATACTTTACATTACCCTCCCCCTCCCTCAGGTTTTGTGCTCAGAGTGTGACCTTAACTGATTCAGGGGTGCTTATTGGTACAGAGTGATGTTATTCCCGGTTCAGGTCAATGACATCATTAAGTAATGAGGAGAAAGTAGTTAAGTGGTCAGAAAGGGGGGAAAAAAAACCAACCCTGGTGAAAGCTGTCCTGTCCGGATGGGACATTTGGAGCTACTAGTCATGAGGGTGATGCTGAAAGTAAGCCAAAAGTAGATCATGCAATGTTATTAAAATTATCTTCTTTTTAAAAAAATTTTTATTTATTTATGTGTGTGTGTGTGTGTGTGTGTGTG